GCCCTAATGTATGCATATCTGCCTTAATTGTACACCTACCAATACTTAATTCCTACCGTTTTATGCTCTAAAATTCCAATTATCTGCCGTTTACCAATGGAACCACATTTTAGAATATTATTACAGACTCCTAGTCGACCACAATAGCGCCACATCAACAACGACCCAAGTACTTTTAACTGTACACCTTCAATGCCCTCTCATGAATCAGCGGAATAACCAATGCCCACATTTTGTGAGTAATCTCACCTTTAAAGCCGGCTTGGGCAGTAGTCAACTCGCGACTCAGGAAGGGAACCAAGAACGATGCAATCAGAATCTCAGCGGAGCCTCCATTTGTGGTGTCCCGTCTGCTGTTGGTGGCTATTGCTGTCAACAAAGAGTCCGCTTAGGCTGCACTGTGATTAGAGGCTTTTATTAATATCACACGTTTACAGCATAAGTTACAGACCCGCGGTGTCTGGAGAAGCACCTTCCCAAATTAATCTGAATGCTTCTGACCCCTCCTTTGTCTAGCTCCTACTTATAAACAATGGCAAAAATGGGTTGCTCCCTTTTTCGTCCAATCACCTATCCCCCCTGTCTACAACACACTTCCTGTCTGTTGTATGTGGCGTTACACTAAAACATTCCCTCTTGATACTAAAATCAACGTCCTCTCCGGTTCCACTTAAAACATTAACAACGTCATAATCTTCATATACGATATCATCTCTGGTGGATACCTTTGCTAACAGTTATTGTGTCAATTTTAAAACTTGCTCAAGACAGTTCACAGAATTGTCCATTTAAAGAAATGTAGCCTATTTATTAATTACTACATTTATCTAACATTAGATAGTTAATCCAGAGATTATTACCTTTGCCTCGATTCGGCAGTCTCGTTCATATTATCATGGCATTTGTAGTTTTTTTGGGGGGGTGGGGGGTAAATACAAGTGAATATATTGATAACTCACGTTGTCCTGGAGAGATTTACATGGTTATCAAAGCATCACGCCAGGGTAAGCCTACACAAACCACAGCCCTTTTTTTAAAAGTGTTTCTAAAATGAATTGTGGAAAAAACAATTGGAACCATTTCCCTGTTTGACCGCTAGGTTTTATGGGTATTATAACTCATACTGTAGTACTCTACTTGCCCACTCTAGCTAGCTAACACTATCAGTTTACAATAGTCACGTTTAACAATAAAACTAATTGCGTTCTATTCCAATCATTTCTGTTGCATTTTTATGAATGCTTATGGTGTTGTAGCGATTTTTTTTCACAAGTCGATAATGTTTATTTTGTTGCTATGGTCACCGGCAGTTGTCGCATAGACTGTGGGCTGTCGCCCTCGTGTGACGGCACTAGCCCCTTTGACTAGCGGTACGAGTCGTGTACTCGGCGGGGTGCTCAGCGATATTCCGCTGGCTGTCTGAAAAGTGATCAAGGTGAGGTGAAGTCTAATTCAGAGCGGAAGGACCTTTCTCTGTGTTTTCAATTAAGACTCCACTTTCGCCTCATCTACCAGAGGACAGACTCTCATCTATATTAACAACCCCTTTTAGGACCTGTAAAAAGATTTGTAATACATTACTCCCCCTCCAATGTGGCTTTAGAACTTAGTAATGAGCCAGTGGCGAAGAATGAAACCATAATCTTTAATCTTTCCCAAACACATTGTTGGAGCTTGGAGTAACCATCAACATTTGGTTATGATTTATTTTTTCTTCTCATCCTTTTGTGTTTGATACATTGTGCACTATACCGTATAAGGAATAGGGTGCAATTTGGGACACGCTCCTTCTCCCCTTCAGACTAGGAGCAGAGAGAAGAAACCAGGAGAAGAGAGGAGAGGAGAACGGAGGAGAGGAGAGGAAAGGAGATTAGAACGGAGGAGAGGAGAGGAGAGCGAGGAAAGAGAGGAGAGGAGAATGGAGGAGAGGAGAGGAGAGCGAGGAAAGGAGAACGGAGGAGAGGAGGAGAGAGCGAGGAAAGAGAGGAGAGGAGAGGAGAGGAGAGCGAGGAAAGGAGAACGGAGGAGAGGAGAGGCGACGAGAAAGGAGAACGGAGGAGAGGAGGAGAGAGCGAGGAAAGAGAGGAGAGGAGAACGGAGTAGAGGAGAGCAGAGATGAGAGCGAGGAAAGAGAGGAGAGGAGAGGAGAGAGGAGGAGAGAGGAGAAGAGTAGAAATGAGGAGAGAGCGAATAAAGGAGGACTGATTGCACTCTGCTGCTGCTGGGCATGAAATGTATCAGACTGGAGGGGAGCAGTCAGCGCTGACCTCAGACTGTGAGAGTGTGTACTTAATCAGTCTGTCTGTCAGCCTTTCCGCTTCTCATTGAGTTTGACCTCAAATTCCTCTCAGCAATGGAACGATGATGATCAACTGTTAAACAAGCATCGTCATCAGTTTTTATTGAGTAAAAAAGGCCTATCCATCAGTGCAGTGCAATGTTAACTGGAAAGGCCAGGGAAATCCATTGGGTATAGGGTGGGTTCAATAGGAGTTAGGAGATATAGAGGTTCACCTTGACCTCAGCGCTTAGAGAGGTAGGGGTGTGGGTGTGGTGTTGAGCTAAGAGTAGAATACTGATTTAACCTAGGTCATTCAGACTGGCAAGGCTGGGTCCTGAAGGACAAGGAGGCAAGCTACTGACAGACACACAACATAGGCTGCGTTTAGACAGGCAGACCAATTCGGATCTTTAATGCAGCCATAGAGACAGATACACACAGAGAGCAAGAGTCACTTGGCTCTGTCATATCCTCACATGGCCTCTCCTATCATTGCTACGCAGACGACACACAGTTAATTTTCTCCTTTCCCCCTTCTGATAACCAGGTGGCGAATCGCATCTCTGCATGTCTGGCAGACATATCAGTGTGGATGACAGATCACCACCTCAAGCTGAACCTCGGCAAGACGGAGCTGCTCTTCCTCCCGGGGAAGGACTGCCCGTTCCATGATCTCGCCATCACGGTTGACAACTCCGTTGTGTCCTCCTCCCAGAGTGCGAAGAGCCTTGGCGTGACCCTGGACAACACCCTGTCGTTCTCCGCTAACATCAAAGCGGTGACCCGATCCTGTAGGTTCATGCTCTACAACATTCAGAGAGTACAACCCTGCCTTACACAGGAAGCGGCACAGGTCCTAATCCAGGCACTTGTCATCTCCCGTCTGGATTACTGCAACTCGCTGTTGGCTGGGCTCCCTGCCTGTGCCATTAAACCCCTACAACTCATCCAGAATGCCGCAGCCCGTCTGGTGTTCAACCTTCCCAAGTTCTCTCACGTCACCCCCGCTCCTCCACACACTCCACTGGCTTCCAGTTGAAGCTCGCATCTGCTACAAGACCATGGTGCTTGCCTACGGAGCTGCGAGGGGAACGGCACCTCCGTACCTTCAGGTTCTGATCAGTACCTACACCCAAACGAGGGCATTGCTTTCATCCACCTCTGGCCTGCTGGCCCCCCTACCTCTGCGGACGCACAGTTCCCGCTCAGCCCAGTCAAAACGGTTCGCTGCTCTGGCACCCCAATGGTGGAACAAGCTCACTCACGACACCAGGACAGCGGAGTCACTCACCACCTTCCGGAGACACTTGAAACCCCACCTCTTTAAGGAATACCTGGGATAGGATAAAGTAATCCTTCTACCCCCCCTTACCCCACAAAAACAAAAAACATTGTAAAGTGGTTATCCCACTGGCTATAAGGTGAATGCACCAATTTGTAAGTCGCTCTGAATAAGAGCGTCTGCTAAATGACGTAAATGTAAAATGTAAATGTAAGAGAGAGGGAGAGAAAGAGAGCGAGGGAATAATCAGAAGGAATGAGCATTCTGAAGTTTCAATCCTTCACAGAAGAGTCTACTATAAACAATACTGACAAAAAACAAAAAAGAGAAGTTGTATTACTTTTATTACTTTAGAAACCTAAACAAAAAAACAGCTTTTCAACCTGCAGCATTGTAAACATGATCATTTTAATGTTTATTTTTAAACACACGAGTGTCTAAAAACTACAAAGTCAGGCAAATTTTCCACAAATATAATTAATTATTAGATTGCATGACATTATTTGCCGTAAAATAATTTTGTAATTGTTTACATATGTCCATAAAACACAAACATTTAAATATTTGAGGTATAACACTGGTCTTTGTGTGGTCAAATGTGCAAATATGCTTAAAAGGCTTATTACCCTGCAATTATTTGGACACTTTGCATACCTATCCTTAAAAATGGCCTATATTCAGTAGAATAAAGTGTCCCTCTACAGTGTAAACAAAAACAAACACGAATGAAACAATAACGAATAAAAAAACAAACAAACAACTAACACAGCATGTAAACAGACAGGTGAGAACAAAAGGAAAGAAAAGTGCATAAATTCAGAAAGAACAAAATCAAATATACTAGATAAATGGGATGTGAACAATTCCATTACGAAATCAGTGCATAAGGAAATCTTGACAAATTTAAACCATACTAATATATTGATTAACTGGCCTGAATTCTGGACACAGATAATCCCGTGTCTTGAGATGAATGTTTGCATATAAGAATGCCATTTGAGCATGCTCTTGAAGTCTCATGACAATCATTAGTCTTAGTTGGAAAACTGGCCCTAAATACTTTCACATAGAGAATTCTCCACCTTGTGTTTGAGATGCACTGGTTTTGGCAATCCTTGACGCATCTCAGTGAGCGAACATACACCTTGACGTCATCTCAGTGAGCAAACATACACCTTGACGTCATCTCAGTGAGCGAACATACACCTTGACGTCATCTCAGTGAGCAAACATACACCTTGACGACCATCTCAGTGAGCAAACATACACCTTGACGTCATCTCAGTGAGCAAACATACACCTTGACGACCATCTCAGTGAGCGAACATACACCTTGACGTCACCTCAGTGCGAGTTAGGTACCAGTTCTTCTGTTCAGTCCGGTGCTGTCTAAGCTATAGATCATTGTGGTCTGTCCAGTCCTTGATCAGTGACCATTCAGACGTTTGACAAGTGATTAATCAGACAGGCGGCCTCCGACGAGCAGCTGAAATGTAATTTCCACACTTCTGCCTCCTGCAGCTGCTGCGGAGCACATGGATTAGAGGACAGGACGGCGGCGCCGGCGGCTCCGGCGGCTCCGGCGGCTCCGGCCTTCCTTACAGCAGCAGCGCCTCTTCTGTCAGGGTGTCCCCTAGGCCTGTCCCACCTCTCTCCCCTGGTCCTCCGACATAGGATGATGTCCAGTCTGGTTGCCCCACCTAAGACCACAATCAAAATACGTTAAACTTTTTTTTTTTGTGTGTTCAAAATAAAAAAAGAAAGCACACTCTTATATATGCTCCAAATAATTTAATTGGTAAACCTAAACACGTTTTTAGTGTTTTTCCTTGATGATTTAAAAAAATGGACTGCATCGACATGTGGTTAAAAAAACTGTTTTATTGACAGATAAATGAAATGAAATACCTTCATTCCCGGCCTCATCTCGGACCATCAAACAGCGGATGTCAGAACGGCACCGGAGGGCCACCCCCTGGAACTGGGCATGGCGGGACAGCAGGGGGAGGTGGCGCGGAGCTGGGCGGAACACTGCATTCTCCTGCATGAAGGGAGGGATGGATGAATGAATGAATGAATCTTGACACATTTGAAAGTGTGAGTGAGTGCATGGCATCTTCCTGCATAAATGAAGGAATGTGTTCATTTATTATTAAAATGTATTTGATCATGTACCTGCACCAGTCCCAGGTGTGTGTCTGTGAGGAGGAGCTGGGACCAGGGGTCAGGTCTGGGGTCAGGGGTCGTTGTCACACCAACGCTAGTGTAGAGCAGCACTCTGATCTCTCCCAGACTAGGCTTCTCTCTGAAAAGACAGACAAACATTTGAGTTTTATTTTACGTCTTCAGCTCTTATCTGCACACTGACTTCCTTTCCCTGAAATAGACAAAATATAGAGCTATAATATGAGCCATCCTTTCAAGACCAACAAACACTACTACAATACTACTACAACAACAACAACAACAATACTACGAATACAATACTACTACTACTACCTGTCCATGTTGCCATGCAGTAGATACACCAGGTCAGCTAGGGTCTTGTGGAACTGACCAGACAGCCTGAGCCCAGCACCCAACAGCAGGTCAGGTACCTGGGCCTTCCAGTTCAGTGACAGCTCCATCAGGTCCTCCTTCAGGAGGGGGTGCTGTGCCACTCGCTGGTCCCCAGGGGAGACCACCCCTAGCAGGGTGAGGGTGAGGGACTGGGTGAAGGTCTGGCTGTGGGGTGTGGAGGTACAGCAGAGGGTGCAATTGAAGCTTTGATCAAAATGTTTCTCTCTTATTCAAGTAGCATGTCTTAGTAGCAGGTTGACGTTTATTGTCATGAATCTGGAGGCAGAACTGAGAGATTTCTGCTAGATAGGCCAGCTGCAAAGTCAGAATTTGATAAAAATTCATGAAAAGAAAAATGAGCTTTTCGGTGTTAATTTAAAGTGGAACTGACAGCCTTTTCACTACCTTGCAGATATGAAACAAAACAGACAATCATAATATCAGTCAAAAATATCAAATTCCCAGTTTTGCTTCAAAACCAACTTTATAAAGAGGTTTTAAAAATAGGTTCTATTTGACAAAAAATTCCAAGACGTACAGTAAGACATTGTTGGCAGAATAGATGGAGGCAGATAAATGCATGATTCATATAATTCACCAATACATTTCTTTGTAGTCCAAATAAATATTGCCATCAGGTTGTAAATCAGAGCTGGCCTGGTACATCTTCCACCCATTCAGGATGCACCGTTTCAGTTTCAATATTAATGCCCATGATTTTAGAATGAGATGTTCGACGAGCAGGTGTCCACATACTTTTGGTGATGTAGTGTATGTGGACACTATAAAAAAGGGACATCTTTTTCGAATAGAACAATGGCTAGTTTGGGTTGCATGTTTTTTTTTGTAAAAACAAAAAATAGGATGTGTCTGGCCCGCGAATTCGTTGTGTTTTTTTCAATATTGAGTTTGACAACCCTGGGCTAGCGTAACACGGAGTCTAACATTAGCTAGCTAGCTGCTGTGAGGATGTCATGTCATTGTAGGAGTGGGTGAGTGACCAACTTTTCCTCCATATAGTTTTCGGTGGCTACAGCTAGATACAGGTGTCATTTGGTTAGCTAGCAAGAAATGTGAATAGCTTTGCTAGCTAGCTATGCTGAATGACTTATCCACAGTTAGCATATCTCTTAGTTGTCAATCAAATGTATTTGGCATCGATCAAATGGGCGGGCAGGCAAGGCAAGTTCCCATTCAGTTGTCAAAACGTGGGTTGGGAGAAGCATGCATTGCCAGGCAAGCTGCAGAAGGGCGAGCAGGCTACTTTTCCCCATTGTTTATCAGTGCAATTTTGACGGCCAACTAGCTGAAAAAGTTTGAGGCCTCGTTAGATTTTAGCTCATCTCGCTCTGGCTAGCATTAGTTGCTGATCTTGTTTTTTATGTGCATAGGCAACTGAGTGAGAGATAGCCTACCGTTTCATGGTTGTTTGATCAATAGGACTGAAGTTCCCAAATGTAAAAGGACTCCCATGGTATATATATATATATATATATCTATATATATATATATATATATATATATATATATATATATATATATATCTATATATATATATATATATATATATATATATATATATATATATATATATATATATATATTTGCAGAAATCCAGTCGGGTGTATTTTGTGGCTTTTGTCAAATGCGTTCTAATTATTTAAATTTGCGCTGTTGCTACTGCTTGTATACACACAGACCAGTTCAAAGTTAATGATGGCAGGCCCGTGTGGCAAATGGCTTATTTGCATAGTGTAGCTCTGACTGGCTATGGCGCACCGGTCTGCGTAGACTCCGGTCTTGGACAAGACAGATGTTTTTATTAGGTTTTATTTACTGCAGTGTCTATTAATTGTCCAAATGCACATCTGTTTTTTCCTCTATATTGATATAGAATGTTCACAAAAGGCCTTACTATACGTCATTCCCAAACATTCTAAGAATTGATGAAAACGTGAAAATGACTATATCTAAGTGCTCGCTTGTCAGAAAATGTAAAAAATAAATAAAATAAAAAGTGACATTCTTCCTGAGGGTGAATATCAGTGGAGGCTCATAATAATGGCCGGAACAGAGCAATGGTATCAAACATCTGGAAACCATGTGTTTGATGTATTTGATACCATTCCACTGATTCAGCCCCAGTCACTACCACGAGCCCGTTTCCCCAGTTAAGCTGCCACCAACCTCTTGTGGCGTATTGGAACAGATTTTGATAAGATTTCATGTTGCTAAAACGCTGGTCAGTTCCACTTTAACGTCAGGGTTAGGCATTAGGGTTAGGCATTAGGGTTAGCTGTGTGGTTAAGGTTAGGTTGAAAATCAGATTTTATGACTTTGTGGCTATGCCAGCTAGTGACCACTCTGTGCAGAGTTGCCTCCATGGCAAGATTCAGGACAATAAATGCAACCCCGTGTCTTAGTAGACCACACGAAGACATTACCTACTTTACAACCTACTTTTATTCAAGTAATAGCCTACTTTAAAAATATATATATAATAATAATGTGAGACTGATTGGCGATCGATCGCGATCAACTGTTGGCTCCAAGCACCTTTTCATCTGTGTACTCTAGGCTAGAGGATAAGAGTGGAGCACTGTGGTCCTCTCCTTTACCTGTGGGTGTAGAGAGTGAGGACACTCTCCTCACTGGAGGCCGTGAGGCGTAGGCTCTGACCGCCAAAACCCACCTAGACCGATGGATATATAATTAGGAAAATCTAGATGATGGTGATAATACTGATGATAATGATGAGGATAACTATATTTAATAAAAGAAAATAGGTAAATTATTTAAAATTGGCAGAACAATAACATATATTTTATTTATTTGTTGGCCTACCTGGATCTCCTTGATCTGCAGCAGCGGAAGGTGATGGAACACTGTCAGAGGCATAGTCTGATCGGGCGTGTCGGGGTCAAGGGTCAGGGCGTAGAGGCAGGACTCCAACAGGAGAACGAGGGAAGGGTGTGGGCGGGGCTGGCTGCAGTTGGCCACGCCCAGCCAGCAGAGAGCCAGTAGTCTCTGAGAGGTTAAGACAGAGGGGAGGACGGATTGGAGACAGCCCAGGAGGGTGGACACGGGAAGGGACTGGAGTTTAACCAGAGCCCCTGGGAACTCCACCAGTCTCTGAGAGAAAGAGCGAGAAATGGTTCATTTGACTAAAGCAACATCGAAGGCTGAATTATTTGATACACTTTGTACATTTTATAATATGCAGAAGAAACACACCTGGTAATATACCTGGACACCCTCAGTCCTCTGCCCAGGCACAGAGCTCTTCTCTGGACCTGCAGACCTGGCGTTGTCCCCCTGCTCTGGAGGGGACTGCGGCTTGCTGCCGTTGGCTCCATCGGTGACACACTGTGGGTCCTCCTCTATCTGGTCCTCTGGAGACCACAGCTCCTCCTTGGTTATACTCTGTTCCTCTGATGTAGATAGAGCATCCTCTCTGCCCTCCGGCACCGGTGTCCACTCCAGTTTTCTGATGAGATTCTGTTCCCCTGTTCTCCGATCCACTTCTTTACCGGTGTTCTGTTTATGTGGGAACTCAATGGCATTCTGGGCTAGGTACAGGCTTGTTGCTGGGCTGAGGACAGTATTGTGGGTTGTAAGGTTTATTTTTGGTGCTGTGTTGAGGACAATAGCTCTCTGCTGTATTCCAGTTGACTCCACTGGCTGAAGATCCTGAGTGAGCGCAATGGGAATGCTCCTGAAGTCTTGAGTTAGCGCTGTGTTTAAGTGTTGCACCAATGGCAGCTCACTGGCCATAGAGAACACCTGACTGTCTTTAACATAGGAGAACATGTGACTCTCTCTGACAAATGAGAAGACCTGGCTGTCTTTGACCATTGACAGCACCCGATTCTCCTTCACCATGGAGACAACCTGACTTGACCAGCTGGAGCTGGCTCCTCCCCAGGCTCCAGGCTGCAGACTTCCAGCCCTTCCTCTAGCTCCAGGCTGCAGAACTCCTGTGCTGTCCCAGACCTGCTGCAGGACTCTCGGGGGGGAGCAGCGCAAGAGACGCCCCGCGTCCGGGAACATCCAGGAGACCCCCCTGCTGACCAGAGAACCCCTCCCAGAGACAGAGCCCTCTTCCCCCGGAGAGTCTAGCACCTGCTCCCCCCCAAGCCCAGATATACGGGACACCCTTCTAACCAGACCACCCAGCCCAGAGGCAGAGAACTGGCTCTCCTCCTGCGCCTCCTCCTCACCCCTAGACACCCTGCTAACCAGAGAACCCAGCCTAAAGCTAAAGCCCTGCTGAACCTCCTCCTCCCTCCTAGCCCCAGCCTGGGTGTCCTCCACCTCTTCCTCCACCTCTTCCTCCACGTATTTCTCCACCGTGGTCCTGGATCGATTCATCACGCCACGACTGAACTGGCCCTCCAAGGCCGCTAGCGATAGGCCACGTACAGCCTGGCTGCGTCTGTGTCTGTCCAGCCGAGAGGCAGTGTGTTCTGTCTGGTTGTGGGTCTGTGTGTTGAGCTGGGACAGAGAGGCAGTGTGTTCTGTCTGGTTGTGGGTCTGTGTGTTGAGCTGGGACAGAGAGGCAGTGCGTTCTGTCTGGTTGTGGGTCTGTGTGTTGAGCTGGGACAGAGAGCCAGTGTGTGTGTCAAACCGAGAGGGAGAGGTCTGTGTGTATGTTGAGCTGCTGCTGGCCAGTGGGAGGTGGGCGTGGTGAGTTCCTTCTTCCGTCCCTCCGTCTTTTCTCTGCAGGTGGAATACAACAGTCCCTAATGAGGTCCCTGCAGGGCCACCGTAGCGGGCTCCGGCCCTGTACAGTCCCCCGCTGCAGCCATCAGAAGAGAGGCCTGACAGGTCACCTGGGCTCTTGTTAGCAGTACATCCACCAGCCTGCTGGACCAGGAGGACAGGTGTCTGCTGAAGGGCCTGGTCCCTGTCCCCAGGCAAGGCCTCCTCACCCCCATAAAATCCTCTCTCTTCCCTCTCTCTAGGCAGAGGTAGCGCTCCCTCCCGTCGACTCTCAGACACCACCACCCCAGTTCCTGATCCGTGAGGTCAGCTCCCATTCTCCCTCTCATGTCCCTCACGCCTCATCCTCCCTCCTCCCTCTACTCACTCCTCTCCCTCTCCCTCATCCTCCTCTCCCTACTCCCTCATCTCCTCCCCTCCCTCCCCTCCTCATCCCTCCTCCCTCTCTCCCTCCTCCCCATCCTCACTCCCCTCCCCTCATCTCCATCCCTCCCCTCCACTCTCTCATCCAGGCAGTCCTGTCCCCAGGCTGTGGGAGTGGAGTTGGGAGTGAGAGCGGTAGGAGGAGAACCCGTCTGGTTGACTGGGGAGCCCCTGCCCCTCTTCTGGCGCTCCCCATCAGCAGTCCTGCAGGGCCCCTCACGGCCCTCACCACAGCTCCACCTGTTTACCCCAGCCTGCTGAGGGGATCCAGACTGCAGATGCTGAGTGGCTCCGGCTCCAATCTGCAGCGGTAGAGTAGCTCCAGAGCTTCCAGCATAACAAGCTGAAGGATGAAGAGAGACAGGAGCCTCTATAGGCCTCTGTCTGAGTGAGAGAGGGAGAGAGAGAGAGACAGGAGCCTCTATAGGCCTCTGTCTGAGTGAGAGAGGGAGAGAGAGAGAGACAGGAGCCTCTATAGGCCTCTGTCTGAGTGAGAGAGGGAGAGCGAGAGAGACAGGAGCCTCTATAGGCCTCTGTCTGAGTGAGAGAGGGAGAGCGAGAGAGACAGGAGCCTCTATAGGCATGGCCTCTGTCTGAGTGAGAGAGGGAGAGAGAGAAAAAAACATGATAAATCACTTCTGTTTGTTTCAACTTCAAAGTCATTCCTCATGTAACCAGGGAGCCTGTCTATTGTTAGGCCAAGAAACAATTAACAAAAATGCATATTTGAAGAGTAAAAGGGCTGATAAAAAAGCCATAGTTAACCCACATTGTTAATTCAAAAAGAACTCAGCCATTGCATTGCCAACCTTGTTTTCTTCTGTATAAATAACATGCATCAAATTAACAAGCCAATGGAGTGAGTGAGGAAGGAGAGCGACACACACACACACAGAGAGAGAGAGAGAGCGAGAGAGAGCGCGAGAGAGCGCGAGAGAGCGCGAGAGAGCGAGAGAGAGCGCGAGAGAGCGAGAGAGAGCGCGAGAGAGCGAGAGAGAGCGAGAGAGAGCGCGAGAGAGCGCGAGAGAGCGCGAGAGAGCGCGAGAGAGCGCGAGAGAGCGAGAGAGAGCGAGAGAGCGAGAGAGCGAGAGAGCGAGAGAGAGAGAGAGAGAAAGACACTAACGTCTTGAAGTGCTCTGTGTACAACATGATTTCACAAAACGTTAGTTGTTTTCTCTGAGGAGGGCTCTGAAAACCCTGCATTAAGGTAATAGGTTTGAAATATTAAACTAAGAAAACAAGCCAAGGGAACAGGCATTTCATGCTCCATAAAAGTCTGTATTAAGCCATGTGTGAGTGTGCGTGCCCAAAAGAAAACATCTGCACACTAAGATACAATATGGAATGCATGCCCAATACATTCCTTTATTGTAAGTGGTATGCCAAGTGTGGATAGTGGATTACACTCACACACATACACAGTGCATTCGGAAAGTATTCAGACCCCTTGACTTTTTCCACATTCTGTTACGTTACAGCCTCATTCTAAAGTGGATGAAATTATTTTTTTCCTTCATCAATCTACACACACTACCCCATAATGACAAAGCGAAAAAAAAGGGCCAAGTAGCGTCATACCCAAGAAGACTCGAGCATTTAATCGCTGTCAAAGGTACTTCAACAAAGTACTGAGTAAAGGGTACGTATGTAAATGTTTTATATTTAAGTTGATTTATTTGCAAACATTTCTAAAAACATGTTTTTGCTTTGTCATTATGGGGTAGTGTGTGTAGATTGATGAGGGGGACAAAAATAATTTCATCCACTTTAGAATGAGGCTGTAACGTAACAGAATGCGTAAAAAGGGGTCTGAATACTTTCCGAATGCACTGTGTACACACACAACTTCATATAGATACATTAACTTAAAAACTATATTTCACCTTCATGTTTAACTTTCTTTTGAAAAACAGTAGGTGAGAATTGGCCCCAATGTTGGCTAGTAAAAGTTTCCCCCATCCACTTGCACAGTATCCATTCATATGAGTGGATGTATATGTATCTGCATACAGGTCTGCACGCAACGTACGTACTGTTACCGTACAGGAAGAAGAGAGCACAGAGCTCACCGTACAGGGAGAAGAGAGCACAGAGCTCACCGTACAGGAAGAAGAGAGCACAGAACTCACCGTACAGGAAGAAGAGAGCACAGAGCTCACCGTACAGGAAGAAGAGAGCACAGAGCTCCTCTGTTGTCGAATGTCTCCATTCTCTCCTGCTACAGCTAGCATATCCATCCTGTTGGTGAGGCAGCGGTTAAAACCAGAGGATTTAAATAATACATTTGTTATTTTTTCAGTGACAACAAAAACATTTACTCATTTTAATTATATTTAGGGTGCCTCCCAAATGGCACCCTACCCCCTATATAGTCCACTACTTTTGATCAGAGTCCTGTGGTGCCATTTGGGATGTACCCTAAGACGATGGGAACGGAGGCGCAGAGCAGTTGGGTTTATATTCAAATAACCTGCAGGTATCGTCTCTTTTTTCAAAAGCTATTTTAAATGATTAGCCTTGGCGTGACACACGAGACATCAGAACTGTCTACAGGGTAAAATACAAGACTGCAAAAATAATTGGGCCCCCCTTCACAAAAACGTCACACACACACACTACACACTAATACATTTAGCCCTAGCTAAGTCTGCTGTCAGATCTTCTTGAGCTGTATATTTGTGTTCTCTCTCCCCCCCCCCCCCCTTTAGCACCCTAGGATAAAGTGTGTGTCCCAAATGGCACCCTAGTTCCTATATAGTGCACTCCTTTTGACCAGGGCCCTTTGGGACGCAGCCCCAGTCCTTCAAATCTACACAGCCATTTTGTTTCATTTAGCAGCAAGTTGAGTGTCTGCTGATCTTTATCCAGACATTGGGGCCGTTTGTTATTCATAGCTGTTTGGCATCTAATAGTGTGCATGTCAGTCTGATCCTTAAAACAAAATGGCAGGCCAACTGATGCTAACACCACATACTCACAGTCGCACGGAAAGGGCTTCAGACTTTTGACCGTGCAAACCTATATTTCATTTCAGAATTGGTTAAAATCGGGTTAAGGTTTTGGCTGATCAGAAAAGTCTGTATAGCCATTCCCCATTCATACTGCCCCCGTTAATAACCACCTGTCTAAAACGGAAAGTCAACTGAGAAGTTGTTGCCACACTAGACCATTGTGTCCAAAACTACAAGTGGCAAAGCGTTGACGTTGCCTTTTCTCTCAGTCTGTTAGCAGTGAGGAGGCTTTCAGAGGAGGGAGACTGTCGGCTAAAAATGGCCATTAAAAAGGTGTGTGGGACGGGTCATATATTAACCTGACAGTCTGTGCTGCTACTCCTGGGCTGAACAGAACAGAACCATCTAGTCAGAGACAGTCTTGGACAGGTCAAGCTAACGGGGTCAAGCTGCTGTCTAAAAAGGAGAAGCCACTGATCACAGTCTCTCTCTCTGACCATCGTCTATCCTTAAAGGGGCAATCAGCAGTTGCTACATCCATTTTTGGACTTTCAAATTAATGATATGTACCCATTGATTCTTGAAGAATATAGCTCAACTGTCGTACCCCATAAGAACCTAAAATATCAGCTTGTAAACAAAAACTATACCTTTGATATCATGAATGGTCAGTCCTTGCATCCATAGCTCTGTCTATGCATTTGAGAGTGGTTAGGTATGGTTAAACATTTACATAAATGGGACCTGGAGGAAAATAATGTGGTTCAGTCAGGGGGAGAGTTTAGTCATTTATTTTCAATCTAGTCCAGGGGAGGGTCATGTAATTTTTTAATTGATGATATGTCAACATTTCTCAGTGTTTTAGAATTCGTTGCTTATTAAGATCGATACATTTACATTTAAGTCATTTAGCAGACGCTCTTATCCAGAGCGACTTACAGTTAGTGAGTGCATACATTATTAATTTTTTATTTTTCATACTGGCCCCCCGTGGGAATCGAACCCACAACCCTGGCGTTGCAAACGCCATGCTCTACCAACTGAGGCTACATCCCTGCCGGCCATTCCCTCCCCTTGGTCGCGGCCGGCTACGACAGAGCCTGGATTCGAACCAGGATCTCTAGTGGCACAGCTAGCACTGTGATGCAGTGCCTTAGACCACTGCGCCACTCGGGAGGTTGATAGATATCAAATCAAATGATCCATAGCCTATGGCTGTAGGAAGTGCATGCATGGAGAAGCACAGAGCATAGTTATATTTCGAAGAAAATAAAATGTACTTCCTTCACGAGTCTTTTGAGCTGCTGGGATGTTGTAAATAAAACTAGGCTGCATTAACCACTGCAATGTATATTCCAACCCTGAGCCCCTGACCTGCTCTGCTCTTGCTGATCAAAAGCTTTTTTTGTACTGCCTAACCAATGGCTGTGCTGTGTAGGCCTACAGCCTACAGAGGCAGTTCAGGAGGTGAGTCAAAGGCTTCTTCCTGAAAATACTTTTTGAATTGGCCTAGTCCAAAAATTCTATATAGTGCGCGCGGACTAGCCTATATGTTCTGTTGAGTTTGGGGCCGATTCATAATGTTTAAATGTACGCCTTTTAAGACTTCCCTCGTGCAGGGACGTAACGCGCTCTATGGGTGTGGCTACCTTGCGCACACGGAATAAGTGTCATTCTGATAACCCTCCTATCCTACTTGCTGGCCAACAGATTTTTCTCGTGGAGTTTTCATTCAATAAGGTTTTCAGGACATTTATCTGAAGCCATCCCTTTAAATACCGTGTACCTTTTAGTTCGAATTTTGTCCACAGACTAGAATATAATCGAGAGAACGGGTTCAGAATATTAGAGACCATCTAAATATATGCATTTTCATCTCTGTTTCAACACCAAATTGGGAGATTTAAAAAAAATACTCTGATCTTTAGATTATTTAGGGTTAGGAAAGTATTTCTAAATCCTAAAAACCGGTTTGGGAGAGCCTTTACACACTAAATATATTGATGAATAAA